GCAAAGACTTTAACCACTAGGCTACTGCACCAGGCCTGAGATTCTTTTTTTTTTTTTTTTTTTTTTTTATTATTTTTTATTGGAAAGGCGGATATACAGAGAGGAGAGACAGAGAGGAAGATCTTCCATCCGATGATTCACTCCCCAAGTGAGCCGCAACGGGCCGATACTATGCCGATCCGAAGCCAGGAGCCTCTTCCGGGTCTCCCACGCGGGTGCAGGGTCCCAAAGCTTTGGGCCATCCTCAACTGCTTTCCCAGGCCACAGGCAGGGAGCTGGAAGGGAAGCGGGGCTGCCGGGATTAGAACCGGCGCCCATATGGGATCCCGGGCGTGCAAGGCGAGGACTTAACCACTTGCGCCACCGCGCCGGGCCCTGAGATTCTTTTTTTAAAGATTTATTTATCTATTCATTTGTTTGCTCATTGTGACATAGGAATCATAATATTTTGACTTCCCAACAGCAGTTCTGCTATACCAGTGAAATAATGGATAGGGGAATATTTGTACAAGGCAAAGGTTCACAGACCCATGGCAGGGCAAAGTGATTAGGCCTCTGCTTGTGTTGCCTGCATTGCGTATGAGCACAGGTTCATATCCAGGCTGCTCCACTTCCAATTCCAGCTTTCGGCCCGAGAAAATAATGGAGATTACCCAACTCCTTGTACCCCTGCACCCACGTGGGAGACCTGGAGGAGGCTACTGGCTCCTGGCTTCAGATCAACCTAGTTCCAGTTGTTGCAGCCATTTGGGGCTTCAACCAGGATATAGAAGACCTCTCTCTGTAAATGTGTCTTTCAAATAAAACTAAACTAAATCTTACAAAAAATAATAAGGCTTAAGCCTCAATCTGATAGAAGGGTAGAAGGGCCTGTAGGATTATTTTGATGCCAATGACTTCCCAAGGCTCCCATCTTCTACTTCAAGTTTGACATTAATATTGCTGACAGGAGAAGGGGAGGGAGGGGGACACGGGGGACCTGGGGACTCTATGTCCCCATAATTAAACATGTCGGGACTGAAGCCCTGCCAGCGGCCGCATCTGGTTGCAATTAGCAGAGGGGACAGAAGTGATTAGTCACCTTTATTGAGCAGGCCAGGCAGGAACCCTGGGCTTCTCCCGGGACAGAGCCTTCTAGCCCAGCTCAGCACCATCTTTCCCTGCTCTCACCCCGTGCCTGGGAGTCCCACCATTCTCAAACAAGAGCACCTACCTTACTGGCCAGGCTTTGGCTTAGAGTGAAGTGCCCTGGTCCTTCCTCCCCATCTCATCCCCGGGTATGTTGCTGGGGGCCAAGGCCTTTAAAGAAAGGTCTGAATTTTTTTGAATTTCACCTGTGTGTTAACACATAGGTGCTAAATGTCCCCTCATCACAAGGCTATTGTGAAGATAAGGTAGATGAACAAGCCATTGAAAACAAAGCCAGAGTCCTGTTATGAATAGTCAGCAGACGCTAGCTGGAGCAATCAGGTTTTGGAATTAAAAAACAAACAAACAGCAACAACAACAACAACAAAAAACCTGCAAGGCTAGGACTGTCATGATGTCTGCTGAGAATTTCAGGCAAGGTGAAATAATCTCTCAACACAAGGGGTGTGCATAGCAGAACCAGGATTCTAAGCCAGGCCTGTTTGTTCCCTGAGCGCTCTCTTGATCAAGCCAGGTATTGGGACATCTTGCTTATTTGACTCACTCACCCCTCCATGTAGCCACTTGTTGGAACTTACCAAATGCCTAAGAAATGGCAAGACGGAATGCTTCCCTTTAAGGAAATCAATGCCCGGCAGGGAAGGCAGGACATGTCCGCAAGTTACTCTTAAAGGAGAGAATGACAGCCTTTGTACAAAAGGGCCAGTTACAGATTCATTCATTTGTACAACACATACTGAAATTTGCTATGTGCTGGGCCCCACGCCAAGCACTGGGAATAATTGAAATATAAATATGGTACCGTCTAGTCATAATCAAATGGGAATGACACATAAATAAATTATTGTAGCTATAAGGAATTAAGTTATGATCAAAATATGAGAAGCATACACAGAGTTGAAGAAATGACCAGTGTTGGGGATGGGGGTGGGAGTAGCAGGGCTGGAAAAGCTTGGACTCACTAGCGTAGAAGGAACACAGAGCCCTCAGAGCATGCCCCACATTGGGGACCCTGGGATGGTAGGGAGGGTGGTTGTGGCTTCTCCCTTTGTCTCTCCCCTTACCCCAGATACAGAAAGGAAAAAAGAGAATGTAGCCCACTTTCCTGTAGCTCTTGACTCAGAGCCCTAATCAATTATGTTTGGAAGGAGTATGCATTTTTTCTGAGGCATACAGGAAGGCTGCATGGAGGAGGCAGCACATAAATTTGTACTTACTTAGTGGGTAGGTAGAGGCAGGGGTGAACCCAGGGATCCTGGAGGTTGAGAAGTCAAGCACAAAGTTGGAGGGAGGGTGGGGACAGTGAGGGGGACACAGCTGGTAGGGTAAAGGAGGGAATGTCACTGAGGACTGGATGGGAAGACATAAGCCCACAGAGAAGCCAAGCCACTGGAAGGATGGTAATGAATCCTGTCCATCCATCAAATGCCAGAAAGATTGCCTTTGAGGTAAGGTGGGAAGCTCTATTGTCACTTTTTTTCTAAGATTTAAAAATGTTTAGGCTTGGCATGGTAGCCTAGTGGCTAAAGTCATTGCCTTGCATGCACCAGGACCCATATGGGCACTGGTTCATGTCCCAGCTATTCTATTTCCCATCCAGCTCCCTGCTTGTGACCTGGGAAAGCAGTTGAGGATGGCCCAAAACCTTGGGACCCTGCACCCAAGATGGGAGACCCAGAAGAAGCTCCTGACTCCTGGCTTCAGATTGACTCAGCTCAGGCTGTTGTGTTACTTGGGGAGTGAACCAGAAGACAGAAGGTCTTTGTCTCTCCTCTCTCTGTAAATCTGACCTTCCAATAAAAATAAATAAATCTAAAAAAAGTTTAAAAAATTTTTATTGGAAAGGTTGATCTATCGAGAAAAAGGAAGACAGAGAAAGAAAGATCTTCCATTCACTGGTTTTCTCCTCAAATGGTCACAAAGGCCAGAGTTAGCTGACCTGAAGCCAGCAGTCAGGACTTCTTCCAGGTCTTCTCTGTGGATACAGGGCCCAAGCCTGTGGGCTGTCCCCCGCTGCTTTTCTAGTCCACAAGCAGGGGGCTGAATGGGAAGCAGAGCAGCAGGTACACGGATCAGTGCGCACATGGGCTACTGGGACTGCAAGGTGGAAGAATAACTTGTGAGCCATTGTGCTGGTCCCTAAAGTGTCTTTTCTGACCTCAGAACCTCAGATGAAGCTTAGAATGATCACAGTGTGCTCCTGTGATTTGCAGATCAGCAAGGTCACCACCATGAGAGGACTGGGTGCTTGACCGCCCCTGCCGACACGAACTCTGCTGGGAAACCCATCCACTGACCTCAGAGTGACCACAGATCTCTACTGGGTGACTCAGAGACCCTGGGATTAAAAAGGATGCAACATGACTACTGCTTCCCTACTACCGTCTCTCTTGCAGAGTGGCTAGTGCTGTTGTAGTGAAGTGGGCAAGAGGAAGTGTCCAGCTCTGCCTAGGGATCAAGGAAGGCCGCCTGTAGGAAACCCACAGGACCCCTCAAGATGAGGAGGTCTTCATTCATTGTGGGAATAGGAGAACATTCTAGGTGAAGGGGACAAATGTTCCCCACCCCCATCCTAAGGTGCGGTGACCATGGCCCCTAAAGGGATAGGCTCCTGAACGAAGTGGACTGTTTATGAGCTTCGAGAACAGCATTGTGCAGAAACCTGCTTTTCCAGTCTCCTGCAGGGGCCGCTGCAGCCCCAGCCTCAGAGAACTCCAAGGCTGTCTTGCCTGGGTGGGGGACACCAGGAGCTGCCTCCTTCCAAGCAGTGGGTGCCAGGGTAGGCAGTGCTCCCAACCCCCAAGAAATCACCTAAAGCTCTGTCAATGGCACCCGGAGGGCAGCACCAAGAAACTTTTCTATCTCTGGGTCATCAAAAGTTTATTCAAACAAAAGAAACTGCAAGTAAATACTGCCATCTGTACTACCCCCAACACACACACACACACACACACACACACACAGAACAAATCAGGCTCCAGACAACACGCAGGGGTTGAAAGTGCCTTGGAAGCATGGCAAGGACTTAAATGAAAACCCACCCTCCTCTTGCTTCTGGAGTTTAAGATCTCAGCGCTCCTTCCCCAGCATCACTCCATCCCCAGGCAGGTGGGGTGGGCTGCTCCGTGGAGTGCAGATGAAGACCTCTGAGTCTGCCTGGCACACGGGGAGCCCCCTAAGCCATGGGTCCTGCTGTGGGGCTCTGTGCCAAGAGACCCCAGGAGCCAGGGCCTCCAGAAGGGCAGCCGGGATTTTTTCACATAAATATATTGCACTTAAATGAGTTCAGACAGCATGACATCAGAGAGTAATTAAATTGGTTTGGGTTGGAATTCCGTTTCCAATTCCTGAGTTCAGGTTTGTAAAAGATTTTTCTGAGCACCTGCAGGTCTGTGCGTGTGTGTATGTGTGTGTGTGTAAGTATTTTCACTGGAAAGGATTCAAAACCAAGGCGGGGGGGGGGGGGGAACTGGAGCACACAGGCAGCATTACGCCATTCTTCCTTCTTGGAAAAATCCCTCAGTCTTATACAAGCCTCCTTCAAGCCCTCCGTCAGTTGTGCAGGAGCAAGGGGGCGGTCGGCGTTCTCCTTTCAAGAACGAGTTATTTTCAGCCGCTGACTGGAGACGGTGCACGTCTGGATACGAGAGCATTTCCACTATGGGACTGGATACAAACACACGCCCGGCAGACTTCAGGAGTCTCGCACTGAGGACTGAGCCTGCTCTGCTGCCGCTACTGCTTCTGCCGCTGCCTCTCAAAGTCCACTCCTTTCATGGTTTTTCCTGCCAAGCCAGAGGCTCCTGCGCTCCTGCTGCCCTTCTCGGTGTCATCCAGCGGCTGACCAGAGGATGAGACTCCCCACACTCCTCACTCTCTTGCTTTGGCAACTGGCTTGGCTGGACCTGGAATTCATCTGTACTGTGTTGGGTGCCCCTGGTTTGGGCCAGAGACCCCCGGGGGCCAGGCCAGCGCTGACCAAAGCAGAGGCCAAGGAGAAGCCCAACTTGGCCCGGAACATCTTCAGGCCGGGGGGTCTAGCTACCAATGCCAGGGCAAAGGGTGGCAGCGGGCAGACAGGAGACCTGACCCAGCCCAAGAAGGATGAACCCAAAAAGCTGCCCCCCAGATTGGGTAGCCCTGAGTCCAAGCCAGGACACCCTCCCCAGACCAGGCAGACTGCAGCACGGACTGTGACCCCAAAAGGACAGCTTCCTGGGGGGAAAGCGCCCCCAAAGGCAATATCTGTCCCCAGCTCATTCCTGCTGAAGAAAACCAGGGAACCCGGGTCCCCTCGAGAGCCCAAGGAGCCGTTCCGTCCGCCCCCCATCACGCCCCACGAGTACATGCTCTCGCTGTACAGGACATTGTCCGATGCTGACAGAAAGGGCGGCAACAGCAGCGTGAAGTTGGAGGCTGGCCTCGCCAACACCATCACCAGCTTCATTGACAAAGGGCAAGGTGAGGGAGTGGGATGGCAGGGGCATGACTCCAAGGGAGGGGCGTCCGCATGCAGAGTGGGGGTGTGGGGGTGTACTGGGGCAGGAGGGTTCATGCACCTGGCCTGGGATGGATACCTGGAGCTTCTCTCTCACACATACACAGCAGGTGTTGGACTGCTGGCCTGTCAGCGCTGGAAGGCACCTGGGAATCACCAGAGCCACTTCCTGCAAGGTGCAGAGGGGAGCACCAAGACCTGCCAGCTGGGGGCAGATGGGAGACCAGAGTCCTGGCTAGAGCAGAACATGCTCAGCGCCTGTGCCGGCTGACTGGACTTCCCAGACTCCTGGAGTTTGTAGATGTTACCATTTGGTAGGCAGAGAGCTCTAATGGGTTATGCCCAAGCTGAGGCAGAGAGCACAGGATTGATGATAAATAGGTAAGGCATCTTGGAGTCACAGAAGGGTGTTGAGAGTTGTGAGGAAGCTGCAGATCTGGGGTCTAACTTGTAAGGGGGACCCTGAGAAAGAGTCCCTTCTAAATCCTGGGGGCTCCGTAGAAAATGTGTGCTCCCCTCATCACTCCCTCCTTCAAGAGCAACCTCCTGTTGCTCTTAAAGCTCCTTCCTCTGAACTCAGCAAGTGCCTTCCCCACTCACAACCTCAGTTTCTCCACAGTGTGCGAAGGCACATGAGCCGTTGACCACTAAGGTCGCCCTGCCGCTCCTGCAGGATGGGGGAGGGGACAGAGATGGGGAGAGGTTCCTCATTAGAGCTGGCCTTTAGGGCAAGGAGGGGGTGGGGGTTGGGTGAGAGGTTGAGGGTTGGGGAGGGCGGTGGTGAGGCACAGAGGCAGCAGGTCTGGTTGAGTGGGGGAGGTGGGCTGGCTGCCTGCCCAGCCAGAGAAAGCTGTGACCCCTTGGGGAATCATAAAATCAGTTCTTGTGCCCCCTAGCACTAACAGAGCTTGGGGAGGGGGAGATGGGGGGGTTAAAGGCCTAATTAGTCACCTTGTGGAGCAATATATGCATGCTCCTCCATGGCAGACTGGTATTTAAGAAGGAGGGGATGCTGATTCAGAGATCCTGTTAGCTTCTCACAGACAGCTAACACTGATACACACGTGGAGACTCACACACACACGTACTCACCCACCTTGTATGCACATGAATCTGACGTTGACATTTACCCACTCACTTTCAGGCCCCATGAAACACACATTATACCATGTCATTCACACACCCAGGGTGCTTCTGCAAGTTCTTCAAGATGGAATTGAAAGATAGGTTTATTTTGGTGCAAACATTTTGAAATCCATCCATACTCAGCTATGATCTTTCATAATCACCATAAGCCCAATCACACCCAAACACACGCACAAATGTCACACACTCATATACACAGCAGCACACAACACACCCACAACACGGTCGTTCAACCACAGAACCAGGGCAGCTGGACCAACGAGTGATATGACCCTTGTCGAGTCACTCCTGTTTCCAAGTGTCTCCTCTACAGCATGAGCACACTCAGGTCTCCTTGAAGAGAATGTGGAAGCAGCACAGGCTGAGGATAAAAAGCTGCAGGCTAGAGTTCCAACCCTTGTTTTTTTCCTAGCTGTTTTTTCAAGCAAGGCACCTAACTTCTCTGAGCTACAGGTTCTTTCCCTGTGGAAAAGCTAAGGTAATTTTTATGTCTGTTCCATTAGTGTAAGTGAGATATCCTATTGGATGATGGATATGGCAACGAGAGAGAGAGAGAGAGAGAGGTGCAGAAGATAGCCCATAAGGCTGAGGAATGTCTGATGTATGTAGATCATTGACAAAAGCCCCCCAAATCACCCAAGGTAACCCCAGCCAATATCTGCATATACCCCATAGTTGCCCATAGGACTCTCCCTCATTCTGAAAAAGGTTCTCCCACGCTTTGGGGCTTGGCTTCTGTCAGAGTAGGCAAGAGGTTAAGGAAAGCTCTCTCGGTCACCTCAAGGTGATGGGCTCCCTGGTGAGGCTGTCAGCAGTGACTGTTGGGTGTTCTCTCTAGATGACCGAGGGCCTGTGGTCAGGAAGCAGAGGTACATCTTTGATATTAGCGCCCTGGAGAAGGATGGGCTGCTAGGGGCTGAACTACGGATCCTGCGGAAGAAGCCCTTGGACACAGCCAAGCCATTGGCCCCCAGCAATGGGCGGGCTGCCCAGCTGAAGTTGTCCAGCTGCCCCAGCGGCCGGCAGCCGGCAGCCTTGCTGGATGTGCGCTCCGTGCCAGGCCTGGACGGCTCTGGCTGGGAGGTGTTCGACATCTGGAAGCTCTTCCGAAACTTTAAGAACTCGGCCCAGCTGTGTCTAGAGTTGGAGGCCTGGGAACGGGGCCGGGCCGTGGACCTCTGTGGCCTGGGCTTCGATCGGACTGCTCGGCAGGTTCATGAGAAGGCTCTGTTCCTAGTGTTCGGCCGTACCAAGAAGCGAGACCTGTTCTTTAATGAGATCAAAGCCCGCTCTGGCCAGGACGATAAGACCGTGTATGAGTACTTGTTCAGCCAACGCAGGAAACGGCGCGCCCCCTTGGCCACTCGCCAGGGCAAGAGACCCAGCAAGAACCTCAAGGCCCGCTGCAGTCGGAAAGCACTGCATGTCAACTTCAAAGACATGGGCTGGGACGATTGGATCATTGCGCCCCTTGAGTACGAGGCCTTTCATTGCGAGGGGCTGTGCGAGTTCCCCTTGCGCTCCCACCTGGAACCCACAAACCACGCGGTCATCCAGACCCTGATGAACTCCATGGACCCTGAGTCCACACCACCCACCTGCTGTGTGCCCACGCGGCTCAGTCCCATTAGCATCCTCTTCATTGACTCTGCCAACAATGTGGTATACAAACAGTACGAGGACATGGTCGTGGAGTCCTGTGGCTGCAGGTAGCACCTCAAACCTCTGTCTTCCTGGGGGTTGATCCCAGGAACCCCTTTTTGCACACCTGGCATCACAGAGGGATTAGGAGGCTACAGCTGGGAGCATCTGCATAGCCTACCACCGGATGGATTCCAAGAGCCTGGCTCACTCGCTGTGTGCACCTGGGGCTAAAAATCTCTGTCCCCGAGTTCCCCTCTGAGCATTTCTGCCCTTTCATGGCTCTGACTGGCAGATTACAAATGGGACTGAGGTCCTGGAGCCAGTGTTTTCTAAAGAGACTCATCCTCTCCCTCCTGCCCCATCCTCCTGTTCTCTCCTTACCTAGGCCGCCTGGGCTTCTGGACTCCCTCCAAGGAGGACTAGGCACCTCTGGAGACAGCCACAGGTGCCACCTCCTGATTGAATCACCTTGGTGCTTGGTGACAGATGAGATGCTAACTGCTCAGGGGTGGGAGAGAGGGGCAGAGGGTTTGGGAAGGGGTGAAGAGTGTGTGGCTGTTAGACTGTTAGATTAAAATGTACATTTATGAGATAAAAAGTGAAATGGTGCCTGGTACTGTGATACATTTCTTGTTTACTACAGGGGACCCATGACCCCCTCAAAGAATTTTTGACCCAGAGACAGGCTTGGGGTGGCCTAGAATCTAAATTTGATTTCCAGGGCCCAGGCCCCACCCCCACTCCTGGAAACCAAAGCAGAATGGGGAGGAGAGTGCTGTGGGCCTGGCTGGACGAGGCGGGGCCTCACCTCTAACCCCATTTCTATTCCTTCCAAGGCCCCAATGGTCTGTTCTCCACCAGCTCAACTGGGGCCTGGTAATAGAATCATATATATATGATATACACATTTTTTTCAATATTCCTTAGGCAAGTTTACTGTGGCTGAAACATATCCCTAAGCAGGAGGGATGCTGGGAACTTCATTTGCTGTAAAATCATTCATTCACACCAGCATCTGCCCTGCCCTTCCCCCAGCCCCCACAGGATTAACTGGGCACCATTTCAAGGCCTGTCCTGGGGACTTGGAGCGGTTAAGCTTCTCTTCCTCCCCTCTACCCCCACAGCACCTCCCTATGCCACTGACCATGACCTTGTCTGTGACTTGGTACCCTCGCGCTGAGGACCCACAGGGCTCAACCAGACACTGACTGGGACCCTCCACCTTATATGTTACTCTTTGTGTAAACAGACACGTTAGATAAATCACCTCCACACTGATCTCAGATGGACCAATGCCAGGCACATCCTGACAACATCTCCTGTTTGGGGGATTGGCACAGAGTAAATGCTGGCTCCCTCCCCCTCAGCTTGAGTCTCTGGGGAGGCATGAGATATGAACTCTTGGAAGGAAACCCAGCCCTTTGGTGGGGAAATTTTAGGCACTGGGTCCTCATGCTGAGGGCTCAGGTTCATGTTCTACCTGGCTGAAGAGAAAGAGCCATGGGAAGTCCAACCCTTGGTTCCCTCCCAGGGAGCTTCAACATTTTCCCCTCCCCTCTCCAGCTGGGTCTTTGATTCCCAAAGGGCTCCTAGCCAAAGCTGTTGAGACAGCAGATTCCAGGTCAGCAATGGGTACATCTTGTGTCTCTTCCCTCTAGGCCTGAATCTTGAGTTGTCAGGATCTGCAGCAGGAGCCCAGGGTAGGAGACAAGGCTACCCTGGAGCTAACTCCTGGGTTGGGAGGCTATTACCTGTTCTACAGGGGCCAGACGGAACCTGGAGCGGCGCCTTCCCTGGCCAGGCTTCGTTGTGTTTGGCTAGTGGTGGGCCTGGGCGCTCTGGGAGTAAACAACAGAGCTGCCATGGCTGACAGAGTCCTGGTGAGTCCGGAAGGGAGGTACTGGGGAAGCCAGCGCGCGCGCGTGCGTGTGTGTGTGTGTGTGTGTGTGCGCGCGCGCGCTAGGGGGTGGTTCTGGGGAGACAGGGAAAGCAGTGTGGAAGCTGTGGGGAGGCCAGGAAGCCAGCAGCAGTGTGCCAGGGATGAAGGGGCCACAGGTGGTACTGGCTCTCACAAGTATTCATTTCCTGGGCTGCATGGCCCTGGGTTCTTGGAAAGTTCTGGCAGTACTGGAGTTTCTCCAGCTTCTGCATCAGAAGCTTCATGTCCTCAGTGTTAAAGCACTTTTCTTGCCATAGGCCTGGGCTTTGGAATAAATTTTGTCTCTGGCTTGACCCTCTGGGAACTTCCTCCCCTCTCCCCCTCCCGACTTGCCCAGAACTTTCTTTCACAAAAGAGTCATTCACTCTGTGCACCTTTCCCTTCCTACCCCCGCCCCACCTTGCCTACGTGGATTCTGGGTATGCCATCATGCCAAGGTACTTGGGAACAGCCTTTCCTAACCGTCACATTCTGTTCTGCTTCCCCCTGAGAAAACCTCCCTACAGCTCCCACCTCCTGTCCCAATCATGATAAGCAGCTAACCTGTTTGCTATCTTCCCACCAAAACATCGTACTCTCCCATCCACAGTCGTGAGCCCTGGCAGGTTCAAAACACTGTCCAGATCTGGGTTGGCACTCTGATGTAATGGATGAGGCTGCAGGTTCCAGCCCTGGTAATTCTACTTCCCATCCAGCACCCTGCTGATGCATCTGGGAAAGCAGTTGAGGACGGTCCAAAAACGTAGGGACCCTGCACCCACGTGGGAGACCTGGGAGAAGCTCCTGGCTCCAGGCTTTGGATAGACTCAGTTCCAGCCATTGCAGCTACTTGGGGAGTGAACCAGCAGACACAATAGCTTTCTCTCTCTCTCTCTCTCTCTCCTTTTTCTTTATAATAATTGCCTGTTTAATAAGAAATAAATCAATCTTAAAAAAAAAAAGGAAATTCCTATCACTGAGAGACTTTGAGCACTTTGGTTTCATTTGTAAAACAAAAACCAAAGAAACAAGTAAAAATACATGGTTGTAAATAATGTGTGAATTTTGAGGGACTCATTGAGAAGATACAAGAGGGACTCAGTACAACAGCCAGCCCGGAGAGGACATTCGGCAAGGTGGGTGGGAGCATTTGTGTGTCTTAAATCGACTTATGGTTTGAAGACAGCTTGTCTCCTCTGAAACTCATAGGAGAGTTTAACTCCCATTGTGAAGTTTTTTTTTTTTTTTTTCCCCTTCCATTCTGAAGTTTTATGAAGAGGGTAAAAGGGCCAGCTACATGGCATAGTGAGTTAAGCTACCTTCTGCAAACCTGCCATTCCATGTGAGTGACCATTCCAGTCCTCTGCCTGCTCCACTTTGGATCCAGCTCTCTGTTAACATGCTTGGAAAGGCAGCACAGGATGGGTCAACTGCTGGGCCTCTGTACTTGGGCTCCTGGCTTTGGCCTGGCCTAATTCTAATGATCTAGGGGAGTGAACCAGTTGAAGAAAAAGCTCTGTATTTCTGTCCCTTTCTTGGTAACTGCACCTTTCAAACAAATAAGTTAAAAAAAAAATTAAAAGAGTGGAAACTTAAGTCAACTCTAGAAATTAGGGGTTAGGCCTTTTGGAGGTGATTAGCACTAGACAAGGTCATGACCCCACAAGTGAATACTGGTGGTCTAACAAGAAGAAGGGGAGGGCCCAACATGATGGCCCAGCTGGCCAAATCCTCATCTTGCAAGTGCTACGATCCCATATGGGCGCTGGTTCAAGTCCTAGTTGCTCCACTTCTTGTCCAGCTCCCTGCTTATGGCCTGGGAAAGTGTAGAGGATGACCTAAAGCTTTGGAACTCTGTATCCGCATGGGAGACTTGGAAGAAGCTGCTGGCTCCTGGCTTTGGATTGACTCAGCTCCAGCCATTGTGGCCATTTGGGGAATAAACCAGCAGATGAAAGATCTTTCTTTCTGTTTCTCCTTCTTTCTGTAAATCTTATCTTCCTTTCCAATAAAAATAACATTTTTTTTTTAAAGAAGAAGGGGAGAGATCCGAGGACACTTATGTGAACATACTCTTGGCTCCCCAACTTTCCTGTGCAGTGCCCTGTCCTGTCTCAGGATGCTGGCTAGCAAGAAGCCTTGCACCAGATGTGGCCCCTCAATTTTGCACTTCCAGAACAGTGAGCCAAAATAAATCCCTTCTCTTTAAAATATACCCAAACCATGGTGTGGTGTTTTTAACAACAGGAAATAGATTAAAACCAGGCTTCTTCAAAGAACTCAGGGGGAAAATGAAAAGATACATTTATTGTGGTGCACCACGATTTTGAAATCCAGGCTGAGCTTTTCAGAATGTACACTTTTCATGAACTCGGTGAAGACGCCTCACTCACAGGTATGGATTCCTCTACTCCTCCATTTTTTTGGTGTTAAAATAAACCTTTGAAAAAAAAATAAACCTTTGAGTTTTTACCTTTCATGAACTTTTCTAGTGCCCTTATATTCCTCCCTTCCCAGTTTTACAGGCAAAAAAGCTGATACCCAGCGGGAGAGCAACAGAGGGGTCTCCTGCAGGTCTCAGTGGTCTTTGCACCTGTCTTACTGCTCATTTGGCCTCTGACACCCTTGACCCTAACCAGACAAGCAACTGAGTCACTCCACTCGGTTGTGGTTCCCTAATCCATCTTTCTTTTTGCTTTTTCTTTGCTTTCTCGCTCTTTCTCTCTCTCTCCCTCCGTTCCTTTCTTTAAGATGTATTGTTGAAAAGTCAGATTAGATATATATAGAGAAGGATAGATAGAAAGATCTTCTGTTGGCTGGTTCACTCCCCAGGTGGCTGCAATAGCTGGAGATGAACTGATCTGAACTAGGCACCTTCGTGATGGTCTCCCATGTGGGTGCAGGGTCCCAAGGCTTTGAGCTGTTCTCTACTGCTTTCCCAAGCCAGAAGGAGCTGGAAGAGCTGGAAGGAAAGTGGAGTGGCTGGAACACGAACTGGCAACCATATGGGATCCCAGCACTTGCAAGGTGAGAATTCAACCACTGAGTCATTGTGCGGGGTCTTATCTTTCAAATAAAACAATACATAGAAATGAAAATAAGCCTAATTAAAATAGTAAGTTAGAAAAGGACTACACGCATTAAAATTATGGCTTTTCCAAGGGAACAAGCATATATGCATATGAAGGTATTACAAAAAGACCTGGAAGAAAATTTAACTTTAGAGAGAGGAGAATGGAATGGGATTTGGAATGATGGTAAAGGGCCCAGCGTATTGGCCTAGTGTCTGAAGTCCTCGCCTTGAACACACCAGGATCCCATATGGGTGCCATTTCTAATCCCGGCAGCTCTACTTCCCATCCAGCTCCCTGCTTGTGGCCTGGGAAAACAGTCGAGGACGGCCCAATGCTTTGGGACCTGGCACCCATGTGGGAGACCTAGAGGAAGTTTCTGGCTCCTGGTTTCGGATTGGCGCAGCACCAGACGTTGCGGTCACTTGGGGAGTGAATCATTGGATGAAAGGTCTTCATCTCTGTCTCTTCTCCTCTCTCTATATCTGACTTTGTAATAAAAATAAAATAAATCTTAAAAAAAGAAATGATGGTAAAAAAAGATTTCAGCTTTATGTGAACTGTCTTTTTTTTTTTAATTATTTGTATTGAAAAAGCAGATTTATAGAGAGAAGATATTCTATCTACTGGTTCATTCCCTAAATGGCTGTAATTAGCCAGGACTGAGCCAAATTGAAACCAGGAGGCAGAAGCTTCAACGAGAGCTCCCAACTGGGCTAGGAACATCCAAGTACTTGACTTCAAGCTTTTTTTTTTTTTAATATTTATTTATTTTTATTGCAAAGTCAGATATACAGAGGGGGAGGAGAGACAGAGAGAAAGACCTTCTGTCCAATGGTTCACTCCCCAAGAGGGCCACAACGGCTGGAGCTGAGCCAATCCGAAGCCAGGAGCCAGGAGTCTCCTTCGGGTCTCTCATGCAGGTGCAGGGTCCCAAAGTTTTTGGGCCGTCCTCCACTGCATTCTCAAGCTACAGGCAGGGAGCTGGCTGGGAAGCGGGGATGCCCGGCTTAGAATTGGCATGTAAATGAGATCCCGGTGCTTTCAAGGCGAGGACTTCAGTCACTAGGCTATCGCGCCGAGCCCAGGCTCCTTTTAAATATTGGCATTTCTGAGGGTCCTGTTCTTTTCAACTCATTAAAAAAAAGGGGTGTATGTGTGTGTCCGCTTGACATCCAGTTAGGAGCAGGGGTTAGGATGAGGACTTGTCGGGGACAGAGGCTGGCAAAGGTGAGGGATAAGGAGGGAGAGTGGACCAGCCCAGAGGGTGGGGTCAAGGAGGAAGGCGCCAGAGAATGCCCTTGGGTCACTGTGACGCCGGACACCGGGAGGGACACAGCCTGGGACACCTGCGCGTGCGCGCGACAGCCTCCGTGCGCCTGCGCCGCGGGCGAGAGACCCGTGTAGGAAAGGGGCGGTGGCGGCGGGGACTCCGGAAGCCCGCCTTTCACCCGGAAATGGTTGCTGAGGAACATGGCGTTGCTGGTGCGAGTCCTTGTGAGTGAAAGAGTGATTTTCTAGGGTCGCCCGCCGGGTTCCCGGGTTGGAGTCGGAGCGGACAGGACGGCGGCGGGGAGAGCACCTGAAGGATGTGCGAAAGGGGAGCCTGGGCGGTAGCTGGGTTGCGTGGCCGCTTTTCTGAGGGGAAACTGAGGCAGCTGTTCTGCTCTCGGCGGTCTGACAGTGGCTGCCCCTTCTTTCGAGGATGGGGTCGGTGACCCGGGATCCGGATGGGATGGTGCTTGCCCGTCTTCTGCCTCAGGGAGCAGGGCACGTGCGTTTCTCACGGGGTTATGTCTGTCGCCCACGCGCGCAGCGTGACCTTGGGCAAGTTTGTGTGCAAGCCTCCAACTCTGAAAGACCCGGAGGGCGTTTGTCTTCCGCGGACCCGTAGAGTCTGAGTCCCAGTGGGTCTGCCGCAGACATTTTAAGCCAGGTTTTAAATGTGCATTTGGACTGTATGATGGAAGCTGCACAAGACCCAGTGACCACAGAGCAATGGGAAAATCTGTAGTGTTTCCAAATCTGTCAAAAACTGGATCAGGGACATTGTTTTTCTGAGCAGGTACAGTCTGCTCCTTGACACTTGTGCTTTTGTGCCACCCCCCCCCTTTTTTTTTTAACGGTTTATTTATTTTACTTGAAAAATCAGACCTTCCATCTGGTAGTTCATGCCCCAGATGGCCACAGTGGCTGGAGCTGAGCGTACCTGAAGACAGGTCTCCCATGAGGTTGCAGGGGCTCAAGAACTTGGACCATCCTCCACTGCTTTGTGAGGCCATAAGCAAGGAACTGGATGGGAAGTGGAACTGGCTCTTAATAGGGGATGCTGGCACTTGCAGGTGGAGGATTAGTCTGTGAAGTCACCATACTGGTTCCCTTCCTGGGAATTTTTTTTTTTTTTAAGATTTATTTGTTTTTATTGGAAAGTCAGACATACATAGAGGAGGAAAGACAGGAAGATCTTCCATCTGCTGATTCACACCCCCCAAGTGGCCGCAACAGTCTTGAGCTGAGTCAATACAAAGCCAAGAGCCAGGAACTTCTGGGTCTCTGATGCAGGGCCATCCTCGACTGCTTTACCAGGCCACAAGCAGAGAGCTGAACAGGAAACAGGGCGTCTGGGAAATGAACCTGTGCCCATATGGGATGCTGGTGCCCATATGGGATCCCGGCACATTCAAGGCAAGGCCTTTAACTAGTAGGCTACCGTGCCGGGCGGGCCCCCTACCAAAAGTTTAAAATGTTTTATAGCTCTGGATTTATGCCATTTATAGCATCCCTTGGACTACCAAAAAGTAGTATTAAAACATTCGTGCTAATCTTAGTTCTTCTTGGTTTTTTCTTGTCAGCCAGTTTTCTCCCAAGCCCAGTTGTGGAGAGCCACTGATGGGCTTGGCAAGGAGGCGAAAATGAATCCTTTGCTATTGTTTTGTGACTCCAGCAGAGCAGTTGGACATTTGGTGAAACCACACATGGCTGTGTTGTCAGTGGTGTCATGAACTGTCCTGGGCTCATTTTTTCTTTTTTTAATTTTCCTTAGGAATCACAGAAATTGCCAAAAGCCACTCTTGTACTTCTAAAAATAAATTGTGATAAAATACTTAATAGCACAAACATAGCTTTTTAATCAATTTTAAAGAAAGATTTATTTGTAAGAGTGGCAGAGTGTGAGAGGAACAGACAGGGAGAAAGGCATCTGTCTTTCATTTCCTGGTTTCCTCACTTTGGCAGAGGGCTCGATCTGAAATGGAGCTGCCAAGACTCAGGCGTGGCATGCCGTTGACACAGCTGCAGCTTAAGCTGTTCTGTCGCTGTAACTTTTTGTTTTGCACATGTAGTTTATCGTATGTTCCCACTGTTGAGAACCGCCTTTTGTCCCACATCTGAAATTCTGTGCCTGTTAAGCAGTAACTCCTGTTATTCTCCTTAGCTCCTGGCAGCCATCATCCTACAGTCTGTCCCCATGAGTTTACCTGACGCCCCAGGTACAATCTTGTAGGTGATTCTGTTTGTAGGGTGCCTCTGACAAGGGGAGTGAGGCAGTATTTGACTGTCTGTGAGTTGCATGTATCATGTAGCAAGGTTTATCTATGTTTCATGTGTCAGATCTTTTTTTCATGCTACGTAATATGCTCTTTTCTGGGTTGGTTACCTGTTTTTCTCTTTATGGACACCTGGATGAATACTTGCTTTTTTTTTCTTCTTCTTTTCCTAAAGGTTTATTTATGTCTCTGTAAGAAAGAGGGAGGTATGGAGAGAGTTAATACTCTCTTCCATCCGATGGTTCATTCTCCAGCTGGCCACCGAGGCTGGAGCTGAGCTAGCTGAGTCCAGGATCCTGAAGCTCTGTCTGTCTCCACTGGGGCGTCGGGCTCAGACACTTAGACCAGCTTTTGTTGTTTCCCCAGCACATGAGCATCAGTAGAGCAGCTGAGGCTTGAATTGGCTGCTTAATTTGCCATGCCACCACACTGGCCCCTCCTTCTATCTTGATTGTAGCCAGTCAGACTGCAGTAAAGGTGGGGTACAGACGATCTGCTTCAGGCTCTGCTTTCACTTCTTTGGAGTATATATACAGATGTGAAATTCCTAGATTGTATGGTAATTTTGTAAAACTTTGAGGCACTGCCATACTATTTTTCACAGCAGCTAAAACTTGTGGATTGCTACCACCAGTGCAGAAGAGTTCCAATTTCCTTCTTTCTTTCTTTCTTTTTCTCTTCTCTTCTCTTCTCTTCTCTTCTCTTCTCTTCTCTTCTCTTCTCTTCTCTTCTCTTCTCTTCTCTTTCCCTTCTTTCTTTCTAGATTTATTTATTTATTTGTTATTGGAAAGGCAGATTTACAGAGAGAAGGAGATACAGAGAGAAAGATCATCCATTTGCTGGTTCACTCCCCAAGTGGCCACAGTGGCCGGAACTGAGCCAATATGAAGCTAGGAGCCAGGAGATTCCTCCAGATCTTCCTTGCAGGTGCAGGGTGCTAGGGCTTTAGATGGGAAGTGGAGCAGCCAGGTACGCTCAGGTGGGATCTCAAGGGGAGAATTTAGCCACTGAGCCATTGTACCAGGCCTAGCTTTGGGGTTTAATGGCTTGTTGAGTTTGAGGAGCCAAATCTTACCCAAATTAAGCAATATGTGATCTATTTTTTGTGTATGAAAGACGTACCCCTTGGCTTTGCTTGATTTGTTAATCACTTTCCCTAATGGAAACCTGACTCCTCACATTTCATTTTTTTGCTGACTTGCTCAAAACCTTTCTGAACAAAGTGGGAGGAAGCAACATATTTGGCTATGGTTGAGCATTTTCTGCATCCCGTATGGGCGCCGGTTCTAATCCCGGCAGCTTCACTTCCCATTCAGCTCCCTGCTTGTGGCCTGGGAAAACAGTTGAGGACGGCCCAATGCTTTGGGACCCTGCACTCATGTGGGAGACCCGGAAGAGGTTCCTGGTTCCTGGCTCTGGATCGGCGCAGCACCTACCGTTTCACTAACTTGGGGAGTGATTCATCAGATGCAAGATCTTCCTCTCTATCTCTCCTCCTCTCTATATCTGACTTTGTAATAAAAATAAATAAATCTTAAAAAAAAAACTTTTATTAAAACCTGTGCATTGGGCCTAGCGCGGTGGCCTAGCAGTTAAAGTACTCCTTGAATTCACCAGAATCCCATATAGGCACCAGTTCTAATCCCAGCAGCCCTGCTTCCCATGCAGCTCCCTGCTTGTGGCCCGGGAAAGCAGTCGAGGACGGCCCAAAGCCTTGGGACCCTACACCCGCCTGGGGTACCTGGAGGAAGTTCCTGGCTCCTGGCTTCGGATCAGCTCTGCACCGGCTGTTGCGGTCACTTGGGGAGTGAATCATCAGATGGAAGATCTTCCTCTCTGTCTCTTCTCTCTCTGTGTACCTTACTTTGCAATAAAAATAAATAAATCTTAAAAAGAAAACAATAAAACCTGTGCTGTGTTGTTTTTCTGTAACAAAAACAAAAATACAACAGTGTCATCTCCATTTATATAGAATTACAAAAGAGAAGGAGTGACACAGAAAGATCTTCCATCTGCTGTTTCATTCCCTCAGTGACTACAGTGGCTGTAACTAGGTCAGTCTAAAACCAGGAGCCTGCAGCCAGGAGCTTCTTCTGGATCTCCCATGTGGGTGCAGGGTCCAAGCACTTTGGCCATCTTCTTCTGCTTTCCCAGGCCTTTAGCAGGGAGCTGGATCAGAAGTAGAGCACCCCCGATAGGAACTGGTGCCCATATGAGTTTCTGGCACTACAGGTGGAGAATTAATGTGCTACACCAGGGCTGTGACCCCCATCTCTGCATTTCAGTATGTGATTTTTTAAATACTTTATAAGACAGGCAGAACAAGGGGTGGGATATTCATTCTCTGAAAGACCACACAGTTGCAGGACTGGGCCAGGCAGAAGCTGGGAATGAAAAGAAAAGTCAAGAGAAAAAAAAAAAAAAACTTTCATTCCCTGGTCTGCTACGCAAATGCCTTCAACAGCTAGGTTGATCCTGGCCAAAGCTAGAAGCCAGGAGGCAGGAATTCAGTTCAGGTCTCCTACACTGGTGGTGTTAGTTTTCTGTTTGTGTTTCAACAACCTGGCAAGTTCTAACAGGTGGGTATAACCAAGTGTTTGTACCCTCACTTGCTGCCTGTCAGGGTATGATGAGGAGGAAGATGGTATTGGGAGTGGAGCCAGGACTCGAACCCATGCGCTTTGGTAGATATCAAATGCAGGCTTCCCGAGTGGTGGTTTACCTGTTGCGTCAAACTCCTACCAAAAGATGATTCTTGTTTTGACAGTTTGCTGGAGAAAGAAGATCTTACGTAATTCACTAACAGTTGTTCATAAGAGTAATAATGCTTTTGTGTTTATATTTCCAAGTGCTTTTAATAAGTATCCCTGGGATCATGCTGGTGAGGTAGCCTTTATTATTCCCATTTTTGATAAGGAAAACAGAGGCCTCAGGTGTGTAATTGGTTCAGGACCACATAGTTATATAATGGCCAACCTAGTTTTCAAACACCTTTTTGCTCAGTTTCAATTAGGGATTTGTAAAGAATTGTAGGATTGGAGAAGGAATGAGCGAGCTCAGTGCTCGTATTTTCTAATAGAGCCAGAATTATAGAGAGGACTTTTTTTTTTTTTAAGATTTATTTATTTTTATTGCAAAGTCAGATATATACAGAGAGGAGGAGAGACAGACAGAAATATCCTCCGTCCGATGATTCACTCCCTAAGTGATAGCAACTGGTGCTGTGCTGATCTGAAGCCAGGAACCCAAATCCTCTACCGGGTCTCCCACGCGAGTGCAGGATCCCAAGGCTTTGGGCCATCCCTGACCACTTTCCCAGGCCACAAGCAAGAATCTGGATGGGAGCTGGATGGGAAGTGGAGCTGCCAGGATTAGAACCAGTGTGCATATGGGATCCCAGCTGCTAGGCCATGGCACCAGGCCCAAGACTTTAGCTTATATTGGAAAAAACCCGATGAATCTTTCAGAAAATCTTTCAGAGGTTTTCATTGTTTCTACTTGTAATTTCTTCTTGCTTCCTCCCTCCCCCCCCGCTTTTGCCACCTGACATTGAATGATTTTGATAAGCCTATCAGTGTTAGCAAAACAAAATGCTAGTAAATTGTCTCATTTGCAGATCATTCCTGGGGCTGGTGCCGTGGTATAGTGGGTAAAGCCACTTGCCTACAACACCTGCATTCCATATTGGCACTGGGGCTGCTCCACTTCTGATCCAGCTGCCTGCTGATGTTGCTGGGAAAAGCAGTGGATGATGAATGCCTGGGTCCCTGTCACCCATGTGAGAGACCCAGATGAGACTGAACTCCTGTGTTTGGTCTGCCCTGTCCTGGTCTTGACAATCATTTGGGGAATAAACCTGTAGAATGCAGATATTGCTCTGTTCCTCCCTATCTTTCTCTGTAATGCTGGTTTTCAAATAAATCATCTTTAAAAAAGAAAAAGAAGGGCTGGGCACAGTGATTTAATTGCTGAGTACTCACCTTGAAAGTGCTGGGATCTCATGTAGGCACTGGTTCACGTCCTCGCTGCTCCACTTCCCATCCAACTCCCTGCTTGTGGCCTGGGAAAGCAGTAGAAGATGGCCCAAAGCCTTGGGACCCTGCACCCCCGTATGGGAGACCTGGAAGAAGCTGCTGGCTCCTGGATTCAGATGGGCCCAGCTCTGGATGTTGCAGCTATTTGGGGAATTAACCAGTGGATGGAAGAGCTTTATCTCTCTCTCCTTTCCATAAATCTAATCTACCTTTCCAGTAAAAATAAAATCTTTTTTAAAAAAAGCATGTTCCAATAGATCAAACTTCAGTTTATTTATTTATTTTTTACCTTTCTTTTTTTTATTGTTATTAACATTGTATTATATATTCTTAGTAACAATTTTCATTGTAAGTAAGGTATTGTGAGTGGCCTATTGGAATTGGTTAACATTATTTTGGAATGTGAGATACTTAAAGCATTTGAAATTGTAGTACCACCTCACCCCATTTCTGGGTACTCTGGAGGAAATGGAGCTTCTGATTTAGCTCTAAATTGAGCTGAATGGTACTGTGAGGTTACCTATGTTAACTTGTCCTTTAAATATTGAGAAGTAGAGATGTTAGCTTTGTTTTACAGCAGAGGCACCCCAGTATCACAGAGGTATCGCTTGTCAACAATGGAACCAAGAATCAAATTACCTTTCTGATGCTAAGGATGTGGCTCTTTCCACAATATACTATTTTTTAATTGGTTCAAGACTAGGTTGAGTTAGAAAGAGACTTAGAGATTCTGCCTTTATTGTGTATTTTATAAATGAGCATAGATTCTGGGATTGGCCTGTCCTTCCTGGATTCAAATCTTAACCCTGCTATTTATTAACCCTGTGATGTAAGCAAGTTGTTTATCCTATGCATTCTTTAGTTTTATTATCTTTATTTATTTCAAAACATTTATTTATTTCAGAGGCACAGCATCAGAGAGGGAAAGAGAGAGAGAAAGAAAGAGAGAAATCTTCATCTACTAATTCACTCCCCAAAGGCCACAATTGTCCAGAGCTGAGCCAGACCTAAGCCTGGAGCCAGGTACTCCATTCCAGGTGGCAGGGGCTCAAACACTTGGGCCTTCGTTGGCCGCCTTTCAAGGCACATTAACAAGGAGCTGGATTGAAGGGAGAGCAGCCAGGATTTCAACTCATACTCTGATGTGGGATACTGATATTTCAAGAGGTGACATACTTATCTGCTTAAATGGGATAATAGCAATACATCCAGGTTATTGGATGGTGATTGTGAGGTTTAAATGTTGAAGTGAAAAGTCTAGGGCTCTGTGTGGTTGGTTCCTCTGGCAACCAGCTGTACATGCTCCAGGTGTCACTTCATTAATATAAACTCAAGTAAAATTCAAATTCATTAATGACAAGATACTTAAAAAAAAAAATACCACAAAAAAAAAAAATACCTGGGGCCTGGCACGGTGGCCTAGCAGCTAAAGTCCTCGCCTTGAACGCGCCAGGATCCCATATGGGCACCGGTTCTAAACCCAGTGGCCCTGCTTCCCATCCAGCTCCCTGCTTGTTTCCTGGGAAAGCAGTCAAGGACAGCCCAAAGCCTTGGGACACTGGACCCACGTGGGAGACCCAGAAGAAGCTCCTAGCTTTGAATTGGTGTAGCTCTGGCTGTTTTGGCTACTTGCGGAATGAATTAGTGGACAGAAGGTCTTTCTGTCTCTCCTCCTCTCTATGTATCTGACTTTCCAATAAAAATAAAGAAATTAAAAAAAAAGAAAATAGGGAGGAACAAGATTTTACATTAAAAAAAAAAACAAAATACTATCACTCAGAATTTCCAATGTTTTTTAAGAGCCTCTGCCAGGAACCAGAAGTAGAGAACAAATATGTATTTCTTATGTCACAGTGTCATGGTCCACTCTTTGTCATTTGTAAAAGGAGTCAGATACAGATTCCTGACTTTTTTTTTTCCCCCCTGTAGAGGAATCAGACTAGCATCTGCCAGTGGATTCCAGTATGCAGCCAGTTGGTACCTGTGTCTCTCACTCAAAGACAGTGGGGCAGAACTCTGTCTGGCCTTTCCCAGGTAAAGTTTGCCATTTCCTTCTTGGTATGAAAACCTTAGTGTGTATGTGTAAATGTCATGTATTAATAGATTAGCCAACCAAATTGTGTGATGGAAAAAGCTCATGAGACCACTGTGGGTCTCTGATGCAAGCTCGGGCTGGATTCCTGCAGGGTAGTGTCTACGGCACTGCTAAATACGCTAGCAGTGGAACTGTGCCCAGGATACTGCGTTACAGTCTGATGATTTTTACTGTTAGGGAGTTCTTCCAGATATTCAGCTCAGAATTAGACATTTTTCAGCTTTCTTTTCAAATCTACTTTGTGTTACTTTTATTTGGGGTGAGAAATGTTTCTTTTTATGAACATAGCATCTAAAAGCCAATTATTAGAGGCTTTAGTTCAGCATTTACTACATGATTCACTGTAATGTAGTTTACCTTGGACTCTCTGTAAGGAGGTTTTTTCCTTCCTGACTTTTGTTAATCCTACCAATAGTTTAGTAATAAAGGAGGTAAAAATCACCCAGTACTTCATATCTTAAGATATTAATATTTTCATCTTTACTGATTGCTTTCCAGTATTATGTGTGCCAGTTTTTCCACAAGTACTTTAACAAATATCTACAGAATTTTATATTCTGATGCTTCTTTTGTAAGAGCAGAAATTATTCATTAGATTTTATAATTAAGTTTTTAATGGCTACCTATTTCCTTTGTCATGAAAATTATTTCTTTTTCCATTATATGCTTTAAAATTAGCACGTTAAAAACATCTCTTTGAAAACATTATCTGAAGAGTAGAGTGGCAGAGAAATCTTCCATCACTTGGTCCACTTCTCAAATGCCTATATAGCCAGGGTACGGCCATGCCAAAACCAGACACCTGATTCTCAATCTGGATATTCCATATGGGTGGCAGCAACCCAAGTCCTTGGGCCGTCATGTGCCACCTTCTCAAGCACACTAGTGTTTCCTATTCAGAGACAGTGGGGCAGAACTGCAGCCTTTCCTGGGGAAAGTCAAAGTTAAGTTAGCCAAAGCCAGCTTGAATTGGCTCTTTGTTATAGGATGTAAGTATCCCAAGTGGTGGCTTAACCCCCTGAACTATGATGCCCATCCTCTTTTTTACTGCTTTTATTGGGGAGGGGTTGACTTCTCTAGGTATTGTGACAAATCACGAAGTAGTTAACCTTTTGATTGACCTATTATTTCATTTAGCTTGAAGTCTTGAGGTTCAACCCTGTTGCAGCATATAGCAGGATTTCCTTTCATTAGATTGCATAATATTCCATTGTACATGTATATATATTTTCCATTTTTTAAAAAAATCTGTTTGTGTTGCTTCCACCTGTTGATATTGTGAAACAGGATCCATGGCCATTCCACTGCCTGTTTGAACTTCTGCTTTATATTCTTTGAAATTTATGTATTCTTTGAAATGGGATTGCTGGATTATGTGATAGTTCATCAGTGGTTCTTAATTGCAGTTATAGTTACTGTGTTATTTGATGGTGATTTTAAATTACTATCATTCCTGTTTATTGATTGGAATTCTAATGAAGAATTGTCACTTCTCCATTTATTTATTTGATTATTTATGTCAGTATAGGTTCATGAATATCAGTTTTTGTCTATAAGTTATAATCCATTTTCTGTTTATTTTATTTTCATTGCAAAATCAGACATACAGGGTCCCAAGGCTTTGGACCGTGCTGGACTGCTTTCCCAGGCCACAGGGAGGGAGCTGGAGGGGAAGTGGAGCAGTCAGGATTAGAACTGGTGCCCATATGAGATCCTGGCATGTGCAAGGTGAGAACTTTAGCTGTTAGGCTACTGTGCAGGGTTTAGTTGTTCCTGTTCCTGTTTTTAATCACTGGAACTTCCTCCGGTTCCTCTGCTTGACACCATCATTTTTAAACTCCCTCCCACCCCCAAAAATGGGAAGTTGAGAGTCAAAGAGAAAGCTAGCACTCACTGGGTAACTCCTTAACAGCCTGCAGTTGTCCTAGGTCAGCTAGCGCTTAAGGCGGAGCCAGGAGCTCAGTCTAGCTCTCCCACATGGGTGGCAGAAACACAATTACTGGAACGGTCACCAGGGCTTCCTGGTTTGTGTTAGAAGGAAGCTAGAGTGAGACACCAGAACTAGTAATTGAAACCACACCCTCTAATACGGGATACAGTATCCTTTTTTTTTTTTAATGATTTATTTGTTTGAAAGGCAGTGTTAGAGAGAATGCTGCTTTTTATTTTTTATTTCCCAAATGGCCATAGTAGCCAGAGGAGAGTTCAGCTGATCTGCAGCCAGAAGACAGGAGCTTCTTGCAGGGTCTGCCATGTAGATAAAGGATCCCAAGGACTTGAACTACCCTCTGCTGCTTTCCCAGGTCATTAGGCAGGAGCTGGATCAGAAGTGGAGCCAAAGCCATTTCCTAGATCTCCATTCAGGGGTTGCATGTGGATGGCAGGAGTTGTCTTCTGTAGCTTTATTAGTGACCGTATGGAATACTGGTGCTGCTCGTGGAGGCTTAACTATACCAAGGCACTAGTCCCATCCATTTATTTTTGGATTTTCTCATATTTTGGCACCATAATACATTTGAAGTTAATGTTGTATTTTTCCTTTGGTGTAGAGCCCTAGATTCAATCATTTCTCCAAGGAGTTTTTTTTTTTTTTTTTTTTAATCTCTGTCACTCCCCCTCCCCCCTTTTTTTCCTTAAAGATTTATTTAATTGTTTGAAAGAATTACAGAGAAAGAGTTCTCCTGTTGGGTCACTCCCCTAGTGGCTGCAGGGTTGGGGTTGGGTCAGGCCAAAGCCATTTCCTAGATCTCCATTCAAGGGTTGATGTGGATGGCAGGGGTTGTCTTCTGTTGCTTTATCAGGGAGCTGAATCTAATGTGAAGCAGTCAGGACCTGAACTGGCACTGATAGGGGATGCTTATGTTTCGGGTGGCAGCCAAAACCATTCAGCCATAGCACCACCTCCTTGTCTTATTAACAGGGTGTAATATTTAGAAATTAATATCTGGGCTAGCATGGTAGCTTTGCAGGCTGATCATCTTCTTTTTAAAGCATATGGCTACTGGAATAGGCACTTTTTTTTTTTAATAAACATTTAGTTTTATTGGTAAATCAGATATAGAGAGAGGAAGAGATATAGAGAGAAAGATCTGTCCGCTGGTTTGTTTCCCAAGTGGCTGCAACGGCCAGAGCTGAGCCAGTCCAAAGCCAGGAGCCAAGAGCTTGGTCTTTCACATGGGTGAAGGATTCTGAGACTTTGGGATGGCCTTGACAGCTTTCCCAGGCACAAGCAGAGAGCTGGGTGGGAACTGAGGCTGCTGGGGCATGAACCTGGTGCTCATATGGGATCCTGGTGTGTTCAAGGTGTGGACTTTAGCCACTAGGCTACAATGTGGGGTCCCAGGCTTGTCTTCTGCCTGCGGTGGCAGCATCCAATATTGGCATTTGTTTGAGTCCCAGCTGCTACACTTCTGAACAAGTTCTCTGCCTATGGCCTTGTAAAGCAGTGGGGTTGTGGGGAAGTGTGTGTGGTGCAGGCTGGGTAGTTCAAGTCTTCAGGTCCCTGCATCCATTTTGGAGACCCAGAAGAAACTCCTGGCTCCTGGCTCCTGGCTTTGAATCATTCTAGCTCTGACCATAGCAACCAATTGTGGAGTGAACCAGCAAATGGAAGATCTCTGCCTGTTTGTCTCTGTGTTAATTTGGCTCTCAAACAAAAATAAATCTTAGAAAGAAAGAAAGATCTGAGAGCTAAGCATGCATAACCCTGTCATGTTGGAGACAGAGAACGAGATTTTCCATCCACTGCTTTATTCTCTGTTTGGCCTTATTGGCTGGGGCAGAACCTGGAACTCCATGTGGAAGGCAGGGACCTAAGCTCCTGAGCCATCATCTGCCGCTTTCTCAGGCACATTAGTAAGGAGCTGAATTGGGAGGGGAGCAGTCAGACAGAAACCCACTCTCCGGATGGGCTGCTGGTATTGCAGGTGCACCACAGGAGTAGCTCCCTACTCAGGCTTTTTTGCTTTTTTTGTTTGTTTGTTTGTTTTTTAGATTTATTTTTATTGGAAAGGCAGATATACAGAGAGGAGGAGACACAGAATAAGAGATCTTCCATCTGAAGGTTCACTCCCCAAGTGGCCACAGTGGGTGGAGCTGAGCTAATCTGAAGCCAGGAGCCAGGAGCTTCCTCCAGGTCTCCCACGTGGGTGCAGGATCACAAGGCTTTGGGCCGTCCTCCACTGCTTTCCCAGGCCACAAGCAGGGAGCTGGATGGGCAGCAGGGCTACTGGGATTAGAACCGGCGCCCATGTGGGATCTCGGCGTGTTCAAGGCAAGGACTTAAACTGCTACACTATCACTCTGGGCCCAAGAGTTTTTTGTAGTTTTTTTTTTAAGATTTATTATTTTATGTTTATTCATGTATGCCTTTCCATGTAAATATTACTGTGTGTCCTTTTTTGTCACCTTTAAGGACTCTATTTCTCCTACGGTGTGTCTGACAATAAGCATTTGTCAGATTTGTGTACTCTCATGTTAACATTTTGAAAATGATTTGGCCCCCAAAGTTATGCAGAGAAGTTAAAGCTCCAAGGTACTAAGTTAATGGTGTCAAGAGGATGAAAACATGTCTGTTATTGGTGTTTAGAGGCGTGATGTTTGGACACCAGTGCGGTTGGTTAGATTGGTTGAATTGTCGTGGCCTCAGAAGAAAAGATGCAGACAAGTACGTAGACTCTCACTTGCCTGAGATGCTCAGAGCTGCCTCGGGACTCTGCTGGCAGGAAAGAAGCTTTTACCAGATGACACATCAATCTCTGACTGAAGCACAAACCAACATGAAACTCTTTCCTTCATACCTACTCAGGTTTTTGAAGGCAGCTTTCTGTAGGGACACAGATAGCTTTATATGTGTGTTCCCCTTGTTAAGGAACTTTACTTCTTTGAGTCTTTGTGTCCTAATTTCTAAAATGAGAATAAAAAAATAGTGTCTGCAGGT